AGTATTTCCCAAGTTCAAATCACCAATCAAAGTCGATGGTGGCGATGGTGGCGAGTCCTCCGATGAACTTAAGTCAAACTCCATCCAAAGCTATAAGAGAGCAATTCAGAGCTTTTCAGACCACGAGTTCAACTAGGAAAAGTTGCATGGAAAGACTACAAGCTTAGAGAACCCTTAAACCATCAAAATCCAATGGCTGGATTAGGTAAAACCTCAAACCCTAGACTGGAACACTTAACTTTAATTAACTTCGTGAAAAGAAAAAAAAACTTTGCAAAAGAACTTTTTTTGACTTGATTTTAACTCCCCATAATTTATGTTCATTTGCTTAATATTTGTTTAAAATTTCACATAAATTGATTGAGTGTATTCAAATAATGAATCAATTTTGGTTTCTAGGGCTTAAGTTTCGATTTGCATGAGCTATGCAGGAATTGAGTTGTCTATTTGTCGATCAATGGTTCAAATCCCGCAGCTTCGTTTGGAATTTCAACCGCGGATCTGATCCCACGGCCTATTTTCCCATCTGGCTCGATCTAAGCCTTTGATTCAAAATAATGAAGGATCAGACGTTATCTACGTGAGCTGACTCAATTAAGTCGAAAGCATGTGGAGCCCCCAAGCACAGCCATGCATTAAGTATCAATGATTGTCAGCGGCGCAATCATCGACATTTAATGCCACCACAGACAATCATTGCCCGTAGTTTGGATTGATGAAATGGAACTCGCCACATGTCCCTCCTGCCATCGTCGCTCTTCCATTTCATTTAAAAAGGATTTTACTTAATTTAAATTTATTTTAAAAGCTAGAAAACTTCAAAAATATGTTAAAATTTGATTTTAAATCCAAAAATTCCAAGTAATATATCAAATTGCTCATATTTTAAATCTCTTTAATTAAAAATTAAAAATTTGGTCATATATTAATATGCTCATATATAAAAATTAATTTCAAACATTAAATATTTGGTCTTTTTAATCAATATTTAATTAAAATTAAATCCAAATATTTCCAAATTTTTAGAAATTTATTTTAAATTGGTTTTCTAATTTCTAGAGAGTATATCAAAATTAGTTTAATTTTATAATTAAATTATTTTGAATATTTATTATTTTTAATTATCTTAGAAAAAATTTTAAAAATTCAAATTTCATCCAAAATTTCATATAATATATCAAAATTCTCATAATTTAAAATATTTTGATTTAACATTAAAATTATTTTTAAATATTTTATATATTTAAATAATTTTAAATATTTAATGATAATTTAATTAATATTTAATTAAATATTAATCCAAATATTTTCAAAAAAATCTAAAATTTTTATTAAAATATACTTTAAATAATGAGAGAATTTTCAAAGTTTTTTTAAAAAATCATTTTAATGATATTAAAAAAAAATTCCAAATGGTATATTTTAAGTTATTATTTTTAAATTTTAAGTTTAATTTATATTTTTTAAATCATTTGAATGCTGTAAGCTTTTGATTGAAAATTTAAATAGAGATTATATGTATTTGGATTGAATTAGTGGGGAATAACTAGTGAGCAGTTATATCCTAGTTGTTCACTAATCAAGTTTGATAGTTACTTGTATTACCCTTATCTTCTTCTTTCATATGATGCACTTACACTTCGTCTTAGGTTCCTCCTAGCTCTAGGATTCCTGATTAGTGTGATTGCACTTCATTCATTTTTGTGTAAGGGTTAGTAGAACATCGATTTCAAACCTACTTAACTTAGAGAAAATTAAGGATAAAAAATTAAGGTCGTGTCTTAGAAATTTAGAAAAAAAATCTAAAAAATCAAATGTGCATCTAATAGAGATGAAACTTCAACCACTTAAACTTAGTGACATCCCCTACCTTAAGGAAAATTTTCAATGATTTTAAAAATCATTAAGCTAATTATTTATTTAATTCAAAATTAAGCTCTTAATTAAGCATTAAAACTTCTAAAAATTAAAAAAATTAAATTAAATCCAAAAAATACAAATAATATATCAAACTTTCCAGACTTCAATCATTAGTCAAAGAAAATTAAAAGCCCTTTGATTAGACTTTAATTTTAATTTTAATTTAATTTTACATGAAATTAATAATTAATTAAAAATAATAAAATATTCCCAAAAATAAATAACTTGGCATGATAGTAAATAAATAACTTCTTTATATATTAGAGTCAAAAATAAAAAAAATTCCCTCATGTCTTTATATCTCTTTTCAAAAATAGATATTAGAATTTAAGCCCTTATGACTCCCCTGAACTAGCATATAATGAAAAGCTCTTATGACTCCCAAATGCTAACACATTAAATATTCAAAAATTTATGCCATTATAACTCCAAGTGCATTCAACACATCAAAATTTTCTCTAACATCAAAACTCCTTATAATCACATATTTAAATAAGATAAACACATAAGAAATTAAATTGTAATAAAAGAAATATAAATAGATAAATTTTAGAAATTCACATAATGCTTTATAAGTATGCGATAAATTCAATAACTGAGCAGAATATCACCGTTTTAAAATCTCACCATATTACCAAGAATTTTTCAGAATACTATTTTAAAGTTTTAGTTATAATATATTAATATTTTTTTAGGATAAAATTATTTTTTAATTTCAAAAAATAGAATAGTTTTTAAACTATCCAATAAAAAATTTCTGAAAAAAACCTAAATGTCCAAAATGATCATATATATAATATACAAAAATTTGCACGATGAAAGTTTAGCAAATGTAAAGTTGTCATTTTTATGCTACAATTTTAATTAAATAAAAAATTCTAAATCTTTCATATTTTTAAAATTGAGATGGACATAATATATAACCTACCTCAATCCAGACAACTTCCTGAACTGGTCCAACAACAGAGAACGGATTAAAGTCACTTGAAATGAGCTTTTTCTCTCTAAAAACTCTCTTTCTCTCTCTAGGCAGTAACTCTTAAGGATTAAAATGATTTAATAAAATGAAAATAAGTGGATTTGATATTTTTATAAAAAATTTGATCTACCTCCATGACACTCAACTTTGAGATCTCCAAAGAATTACAATTTTGTTATAATCTTGAAAGACATTGTTAATACTAGGAAAAAACCACCTTGATATTTTGGACAAAATTTTATGTGGAGTGGAGTCTCCTCAAAATATTAGTGAGTGATAGAGAGAAATTATCTATCTACAATTGTACCCAAAATATTAACTTGAACATCTTTTTGAGGTTATAGTAAGAGTTGTATCATGGTCTTGACTAACTTCCTATAGAATGTGCCAAATTGCATAATGTTGGAATATTCTTTTTTGAAAAATGTCAAGTTTATGTTTAATATTATATAAAAATCCAATAAACATATAGATAAGTTAAGAACAATAGGCATGAGAGATTGTTTAATAAGAAAAGCCCAATAAGAGAAAAAATCATAGGGACTAACTAATCTAAAATTGTTTCACCAAAATGACCAAAGTGAGTCGTGAGTTAAAAAGAGCACCCTTTCCCATAACCTAAGAAAATGTTAATATAATGCAATAGAAACAAATGATGGAAAACTTTTATTGTAATTGTGGTTGGTGAAATTTAAAGATATTTGAGTTATCATCAAATGATGATTGAGAATCAGCATTGTTACTGATAACAAGAAAAAGAAGATGAGGACATCAATCATTAGTCAAAATTGAATGAAAGTTGATTTGGAATTTTTGATAATGGGGCAACCATTTCAATCATTCTTATAATAGGCGCTAATTCTAGCATAAAACATATTCAATGCACTGATATTTGAGAGTCATGTATCTTAGTGTAATTCACAAAATATTTGCCCTTGCCAATAATTAGATGTATTTTAAAATATAAAAGCTAAAATTATATTTTCTTTTTGTTTTATTTTCCTATGATAGTATATTCATGTTTATGACAATGATGTGTTAAACAACTTTAATTATTACACCAAAATTATTTACATTGATCTACAACAAATATAATATTTTGGTTATCAAAATTTTAAAATATCTAATTTTAATCAAAATTGAAAAAAAAAACAATAAAATTTGAATTAAAAAAAACACTAAATGAAATTAATTTATTTAATAAATAATAACATTATCTAAATTACATTTTTAGCTACATAACATGAAACAAACAACCCATAAAATAAGATATTTCAACTTTGACCATATATTATATTGTTATTTTCAAATAAAAGTACCAAAATTGCATATTAAGAGTAAGAAGGCCAAAAAACAGAAATTACACAAAGGAACATAAATTACAATACATGTCAAGAGTTTTTCAAAACATTCTTATTTATTAATACCGCAATATAGGTGGCTTTGTTACCCAATAGAATAATGATTAAATTTATTGCTCAATACTTTACTTTAACAACAGCGGATAGTACAAAGTGAATGGCGAAAATAAAAAAATAAAAAAGTCATAATTTTATAGAATGAGATCTTAGTCATAAGTAGCTTGATCAAGAGCTCATATGGATCTATAACAAAGTTATATCATTTATGATTAAATCTAATGTTAATTACAGTTTGGCCCTTCAATAAAGCTTTGTTTGAGACAACTTTCTTGCTGTTTTTTAAAATAGCTTTCTAATACAAATATTTATAGTCCAAAAAATTTTTGCACTGGAAAGCTACTTTAGAAAGCAGTAAAAAAATTGTCCCAAACCAAATCTACATTGTAGAAAGTCAAAATTGATCGCTTATACTTACCACTATGATTCTAAACCTTTCACACATTCGAGCTCTAATGATTATAAAAGTAGATAAAACATTGATCAACAGCCTCACTTTTAGATCCCTCAAGTTATGGAAAAACTGTACTATGCCCCCCCTTTCCTTTTCAACATCCTTAACACTTTGATCGTTTGGTGATTATACATGTAGATCAACTTTGGCTCCATTTTCAAATGCAACCAAAGAGTGGTTTTGTCAAAAAGTGAGGGACCAAAGTGAAATTTACAATTAAATTTATTGATCGTTTGAGAGTGTTGAGATGAGAGTAACTGAAGAAAATCTATTGAAAAGTGTAGAAAGCACTATGAATACTTACTCCGGGCTATCCTTCAAGATACCGTAGTCATTGGAAGCCTTGAGTGATCTCTCGTATGTCTGCTTCATCATGTCCTGAATACCAAGATACATAAATTTGAATATAAATTTAAATGGTTTCTATAACTCAATGAATATAGAATTTTAACTAGCATTATCATTAATGATATAGTTGATAAAGTTAAAATTAGATTATTAAAATGAAAAAGTGCCGCAATACTACGCTGAGAAAGATAAATCATAAAGACCTAAAAATCAATACAAATAAAATAAGTCACTAGCACAAATGAAAAAAAAAAAAAATAATTAAAAAAGAAAAGTCACTAGCACTAATAAATAAATTGAGTGTGGTATAAGTGAAAATATTAAAATGAATATAGAAAAATTAGTAAGGAAATTAGTGAAGCTACCTGTAATTTAGTTTCGAAGTCCTCCGCAGACCAATGCATCAAATTGTATTCATGATTTAGCTCATGTTCTCCCCCAGCAACCTGAAAGCCAATCACTAAAAATAGCTTAGGAATCCAAAGAAATGTAGCAATCTCTAAAGTTTCGAAAATTTGTATATCATATGTTACTAAGAAAACCACATTGAACAGTTCTCAAACACAATTAATCAAATATATCTACACCATATAAATAGCAATTATTGAAAAATAACGGTAATGGAACATAAATAGACAAAGCGATACAATACAATCTAAAATTTTTTGAGATGCCGTGCAATATTAAATACAAGAGAATGTGCAATGCTAATGAAATTCCTAATGAGCAACTAATCAAAAAAATGTAAAACAACTGTAGAAAAAGGAACATGCACTGATTCATGTGGAATCAAATTGATAAAAGAAGCAATTATTTGTAAAACATGAAGATTCATATAAATAAAAAAATCCAAAATGTGCGATCATATGATAGATCTCAAAGGAAAAATAACCACAAGGTTTTCAAAATCAAGCAGAAGAACCGCAACGAAATTATGGAACATGAACATAGTTGATAACCAGCATACCTACCAGGATTAAATAAATCTAATCACTCAAATAAATACTCACTAAAAGAGTGAAAAAAGAAAGAAAAGAAAAGAAAAGAAAAGAAGAACCGGAACAAGATCATCACATCCCCAAAGAAAATTAGAAGAACGAAGATCTTCACATCCAAGAGAAACCAACTTCACTGAATAGCCAAAAGTGTATAAATTTGGCACCCATAAATATTGAAGAATTTGATGCAGAACATAAAAAAATTGCTAAATTTCCAATAAGCTGACAATGATTGCAAGGTAGGTTAGTTTTACATTAGACTCAAAGTAAAATATGGTGGTTAAAATTTAACTTACTGTACCAAAACAAACTTGGGTTTTGGATCCTAATGTTTAGGAATTCCATCATACCTGGCGATGGATCGAATGCAATGTATGTTAAACGCATTGCACCATGTGTTTAGTTCAGCTAGATATAAAGATTATCATTTCAGATCTGTCCTATGATATTTTTTTTATTGTAAGTACAACCAGAATGTACCATACTTCAATAAGAACAATAGGATACAATCAATGCAGGTTAATGCAGAAAACCATGAATCAGAACTTTATGAGAGATTAATGACTGCACGCAGCTCATGGAGAATTCAAAAGGGAATAGATCAATGCAAGATAGCTTGCATCTCCAAAATCAATTGTAAATCTTAGGCCTTAAAATCGTGTATAGAAAGAAATTCATGCTAGCTGAAAGGTTAATGCACTAAAACAAACATGGTATCAAAAATAACCTAGTACATATCACATTAAAAGGATGGTGGATATCGAAATAGGAGATGTGATAAGGAACTTAAAAAATAAAATAAAATAAACTAAAGAATAAGCAGTTTTTGGGAGCAAGATAAAGATTCAGTTATTAAAATATTAACAAAAAACATTAATTCCCTTCTCATACTAATGTTTCTTAAATCACTTTGGATTCATGCCGGATAGATATACTATGAAAGTTATACATTTGTTAAGAGGTTTGAAAAAATATAGGAGGATATACATAGGATTTTTATTGATTTAGAAAAAAATGTAAGATAAAATTTCAAGACAAGTGCTCTAGAGAGTTCTAAAAAAGAAAGGAATTAATAATACTTATATTCAAGACATTAAGGACATGTATACAAGAGTTGCTACTTGTGTTCAAACACAAGGTGATTTGACCAAGTATTTTCCAATTTCAATTGGATTACATAAAGGATCAGTTTTAAGCCCATATCATTTTGCTTTAATCATGTATGTTCTTATTAGAATTTGCAATAGGAATTCCTGCCCAGTATACATTAAGTCATCCCAATGGCTGAATTTGCAGATTAGTCAATTCACGATGGAAACATAGGAAAGCATTTTGGAAGGCCTATGTGCTATGGTTTTCTTTGGGAAAACAAAAGAATCTTGTGATTTCATTATTCCAATAGTAAACTATTTATATTAAGTTTCTGATGTAGAACGGACATGGGGGAAGGGGTCTGTTGAATAATTAAAATCTGAATTTAATTTCAGATTTCAAAAAAAGGGAAGTGGAGGGAAAATTTGAATTTCAAATCACCTTAATTGGGATTTAATGAGGGATGGGGGCCGGAAGTTACTAGTGGTGATTGGAGTTGATTGAGGGCCTTAATAGAGAGGCATTAATTAGAGAGGAGGTGAGAGAGGGGTCCGGCCATATGGAGAGGTAGGAGAAGTGTCCACATACAATGTATGTGGATCAAGCATTAAATGGTATTGGACGAATTAAATCTGAAATTAATTTCAGATTGAGAGTAATTTGAGGAGGCTCCCTAATGTAGAATTTATTAAATTGGAAATATTTTGAAATTCAAATTTATTTGAATTCAAAATTGAATGATTTTCCAAATTAACAAAATTTAATTTATGAAGGTAATCAAGAGGCTATTTTGAATTCAGAATTCAGAATTCAAAATTTGTGGAAGAGGGAAGAGGCTAGGGGTGAGGTGGTCAGCCGACTATGGAGGTGGAGGAGTTGATGTTTGATCTAAAAGAAAAGTCAACCAAAATCAAACGAAATAAAACAAAAACGGATGGTAAATGATGGAGACTATAGATGATAAGACGGAGAACAAAAAAAAAATAAATAAATAAAAACAATACAAACCACGAGCCCAGACTCTTCCTGCGGCTAGTGGGTACTACGTTGCCCTCCCCAAGGGACTTCAATCCACGAGCCCGGATCCATCACGTGGCTGGTGGAAACAAGATTGTCCTCCATATGACTTCTCCTCTCCAAAACTCACACAGAGATCAAGACAAATGCTCCAATTCTTTTTTTTTTTAATAATCCATCATAGTCTAATACAAGAGCAAATGCCTCTATATATAGGTCTTAAAAGAAACTAAAATACAACTTTGCCCATTGGGCTTACATAAAACAAGTCCCTTATGTAAGAGTAAAAAGGAAAATGCATAATTAAATAAAAATTACAATTAATAAACTAAGATAAAATGAAGGGATCTTGGCCGTCGATTTTCATCTCTTCCTTTGAGTAATGTTCACCGTCAGATGTTCGCATCAGTTTCCCTAAAAATCTTTATAACAGGAAATGGACAGGAAAATTCTGAAACTAATCTGAATGTATTTGGCATGATAGGAAAACGAAGATGGGTTTTCTCTATCAAGATTTGTTGTGAACTTCCCAAAGTTAAAAGTTGTGAACTCTTGTCAGTCGTGAATAAAATTTTAGTCAAGTCCAATTGTCCTTAACCTTTATCCATGTCATGCACTTCGGATGTCAATGAGAAGTTTATTAGATTCAACCTTAATTTGAAGCCAAAGATAATTATATTAGAAGTAAAGAAAAATTATAAAATTGATATGTCTCGTAGAAAGGCTGACAGTGTTGTGAGTAAGCTGTCATATATATAAAGAGTCCCCAGCAGCATCATTTCAAAAGTCATCATTATATCTGATCATGTAAAATAAGAAGAATCTATGGACAAATGTTGATCTCAAACTTGAAACATCAAGACATGTCAAGTATGTTTACTTCTATTTAGGTGCTTGCATGCGGGGCTTCAAAAATTCATAATATATAATGTCAAGTGTAGATGAAATATTTTTTAAAATAATATGTAAATGTAAATTATTTGTGGCAGTAGCCAAGATGCTAATACTCAGATTTATCCAATGGCATTTGATGTTGTTGACTAAGAAAATAATGGGTCATGGATTAGAATAAATTGAGTCGTCAATAGATTTCATGGAGAAATTGTTATTGTCTCATAGACATAACAACATTGCTAATTCTTTATCCACTGTATTTCAATAGGAATATCATGGAGCTTACACTCATCACAAAGCAATAAAAATCACCATTAAAAACTGATAATTATCATGAGGAATCACTTGGCTTTAAATCTTATGGAACAATTAAGTTCTATCGGCACTTTGACAAAGTACAGATGAAGAAACCAATAACTATAGGTGCATACTTAGAGAATGAAGTTGTCTTTGAAAGTTGGGCTTGCGCTATTTTTTTTTCTAGGAAAAAATACAACTTGATGACAACCAATATCTTAGACAATGTTGGAAAGAGTGCATATTCCTATCTAGTGACAAGTTGCTAGAGTTCTTGAGGCACATAATGCAAAAATGAATCTTCGATAGAAGAACTATTACACTGAACACAAAAATTATTTTGACTAAAAAAATTAACAAATCATCGAGCAAGCTCTTGAATAAGGCCTAGATATTAATTGTTTATCCGATTAGCCAAGTTAAATTACATCTCTTTAATGGGCATATTAATGGTAGTGTTGATTTACATGAGAGAATATGTATTTGTAGAAAGTTCGATGCATAGGTCTTTATTTTTTACAATTAGATGATAGGATTTGATTTGAATCAATTTGACTTTATATGTAGCCTATTACTATAAACAAGAATTAAAAAGTTCGATGCATGGATCTTTATTTTTTACAATTAGATTTTTTTCAACAACTTACAAATTAATTAGAAGCAATACTATTTTCATCCTAATACTCTCTCTACCACTCCTATGGTTTTTCCTTTCCCTCTTTAATGCCATGCATTCCTCCCAAGACTCCGGGGAATACATAATTATTGAGACTCCCAATCATGGAATTTTCTCTCCAAGCATGATTCCCTGGGTTTTTCTTTCAGTTCCCTCTTTGATTGAAGATCCTCTCTCTCTCTCTCTCTCTCCACTCATCTCAATATTCCAAATTCAATAATATATCAATTAGAAATTATGTCTAAGAGAAAACATGTTATTTCAAGAAAGGAGGATATGATGAAGTTCTCAATCAATAAAGTTTACATCATGTGTAATCAGAAGCAAACTAAAAGAGAGATTAGCATACCCCTCCAGCACTTGCTGCCTTCGCTGGAGCAACCAAAACTTTCCCCTTCTTCAAAACATCAATAGCTTGTGGAGTACAAGGCATGTTTGAACCTGCTCTTCCGAAACAAAAAAAAAAAAGTCAAATGAGATATATAATTAATTAGTGAAAGAATCGTTCCTGGCAATACCGAAACAACAAAAGACAAATGAGATATATAATTAATTAGTGAAAGAATTGTTCCTGGCAATAAGAAAACGGCTGTAAAATCAAATATAGTTTGTCTATGCCTAAAATATACCTTCAATCAGTATGCGGCAACCAGCATTGATGAGAGCAACAGCATCAGGTTGATCAATTTCATTTTGTGAAGCGCAAGGAAATGCTACATCACAGGGCTCTTGCCAGGGTTTTGCATCATCGAAGTATTTGGCACGAGGATAAGACTTCTGATACTCTCTGCAAAATACAAACATAAAAATTGCTATTATGAAGTTGGTGCCTTGATGTTGGAGGTCTACCCTGAACATGGAGGAAGCTTGTACCTCAGGCTTCTTTGTTGAGCCTTGATGTCCCTAAGGTGTGAAAATTTTACAAAATCAATACCATCATCATCAACAATATAGCCTTTGGAATCTGCTAAGAAACAACAATAATCTTTAAGCATGAAATTACACAATTATGTTCATACAAGATAACCAAACTTCCAGCAGAATGCAAGGAATGGCATAATATAATAGGCTCTAGAAAGAAAACTAAGGAAAGGATCCAAGGATTACATAGATATTTCATTAAAAACAAACGATGATTACGCATCAAATTAAACAATCAAACTTTACCTTATAGCTAATCCTAGTGCTTCCTACTTAGTTTTCTCCCTGGTTAGTCTTTAGAGTGCACCGAGTGTATCAAGAAGCTTGAAATATGCGAGTAACCAAAATGAATCCTAGATTTGTGTCTAATTTAGTCCTAGGATTTTCAAAGTGCTTAATTTATTCCCTCAATGCGGCACTTTGGTCCTACCATCAACTTAGTTATTTTTATTTTTATGGACGAAAATTAGTGGAGCAAGGCTTTCTATGTGGGCATTTTCAATCCAATTAGCCCAAGTTAGTATTATGGAGTGAGAATGATCCTATAAAGATCAAAATGCCCTAATGGAAAATTTCCCTCCACCTATTTCTATCTAAAATAAATGATAAAATTGACAACACCAAATTGGCTCAAATTTGATGGATTGAGGGACTATATTGAGTACTCGAAAAAAATCAAATTAAAATGGGCCTCAAAATTTTGGGTCCATTTTGGACCTTTACAAAGAAATACAACAATCCTATATTAAAACATCATACAAAAAGAGCATCTTAGGCTTTGGTTGGAATATCTTTCTTACCACTTTCTTAAACAACCTTTAGTACAAAAAATTCTTGAACTTCGAAATTTTTTACTAGAAAGCTATTTAGAAAGCTGTCCCAAACGAAGCCATAATTTCTTCAAATATGTCTCTACGATTTACACTCCAAAACAAATGGACATACAAGTCATGGCTTTCATACTATATGCAAAAAGGGAAACTATTGCTGCCTGCTCATAAATTTCTTCATACCCATGAATAGAAGAAATCAGAAGCCCTGAAATCTATTGAAATACATGACTATAGTCAATGAAGCATTAAATCTTCAAGAGTGTCATTTCAACTTAATCAAATAACTTTCATAAACATGCACATATGGACACCCCAAAATATCATATCCATCGCATAAAATCAAATAATGGCCCAGACTATTAATAATTCACAAATATAGTCTACAATCACATTTCTCCAATTCAATATCTTGACAATACAAAATTAATCCTAAATGGTCCCTCAGGGACTAAATTTATCAATCATGTATAGTCGATGAATTAAATCATGATCGATTTATCACATTTTTATGCGAGAGATCATTTCGGAACAATTTTGTATAGTCAAGCGACCAAACTGGAGAAATGTGACACTCTTAGATTAAATTGACAACATTTTGGATTTTAATCTTTAAATGGAGCATTCTATTCTTTAATTATAAAAAATTTCTACCACTTGAAAATTTCAGTCAATATTGGATACTTCTCAATCCATCTTCTTGTACATGATATTGACAATTTTTTGACATAAATAGGGGATGACCCATATCATTCCTACTATGCTAAAACTCTCCCAATCTTGTCCTAAATTTTCTTACACTTTTTTCAATTTTTTATCATTTATACTTTTGCATACTTAACATACAAATATGCTTTGGGCTTTATAGAACATAAAATTTTTATGTTGAATTGATTAGAACTTAAATGCAATAATATTATTTCTTATTATTACACAAATTACAAATACCTTGTGGCAATGTCTTATACCCACACTAATGGAAACATGTTTGAACATGTTGGGTTGTGTTTTGTGATCTCATTTTTATAGCATAGATGAGGTTCTACTTTTAAGAACACGGATGATGAAGAGTCTTGCTTGGCTGATGATTATTATTAGTTTAGATATTCGAAAGGTAACCCAAAGCCCTAGGATAGTCACCCACCCACGTCAGTCATTGTCTAGGTAATCCTTAGTACTAAAATCAATGGTATAGTGCCTGGTAGTATATTTGAAAAGTTTTCTAAGGTAGCCTAAAGGTCATAAAGGTATGCCACAATTAGAATTGCCATGAATTTAACCTAATCCTTGTCCATTGTACCCTAGATAACATCTAGTGTACTGGATTTCGTCTAATTTTGATTTCTAGTAACTAGTAAGCATTAGACTAGTCAAAGGTGTAGCCTAGCGAGCTTGATGAGCCAATTTTATCTAATTAATAGTTCCCCTGAGTGGATTAATGCGACCTAGTTAAGCTAGATAACCTGTTATAGCTAGCTCTCCCAAGTATAAACAATTGTCCAATCATGGCTTGCCAAACCCTAGTCCATGATGAGCTTAGATAGAATCTAGGTGAACCCTTGAACAAATTAAGCTCACACCTTCAATTAGTCAAAACCTAAATCAATTGAATTCACCTAATCACATCTCAAGGTCAAAACTAAACCTTGAGTGAGTTGACCTAGACCTGCATGACGCTATGCTAGCTTAAGTTTTGCAATTAGACTAATATACATTTAACTAAGCTAAATCGTTAAAATGGATCATGAATATTTTAACTACAAGAGGCTTCAAGAATCCAGTCCTAGTCTAGGTTCGCCTAAATGATTGACTTGACTCAAATAAACACAATTGAAGACCCAATCACCTAAATTAGTTCAAATCATCAAATTGAATTCAATCACCCAAACTTAATCAATTAAACTAACCCATTTAACTAAGATTGATCCTAATTAGCCTAGTAACTAAAATATGCTTAAGTTAGCCTAGATGGCTAATCAAAACCAAATCAATAGTCAATTGACCTAAGGACTCCAGTCAACACCCCAAATGAGCCTAATGTGGTCTTAAGGAAGTTCATTGCATTTAGTGAACTCATGGCCTGTGTCATGGCTTAATGGTCAACCCAAAACCTAAACTTATTAGGTCAATTAAACCCAATAAAACCAAAGGAGAAGCTAATTGACTAAATGACTAACCCAAACTATCTTAAAAGGTTCAATGGACCAAATTGAGCCTACATTGTGACAACCGGTTCTTCCGGCCGGTTCAACTGAACCGGCCGGCCCACCCTTTATAATCCCACGAACAGAAGGATCGCGGAACAGAACTGTTCGTGCGAACAGAGAAGGGCGGACGGTCGGGCTTCACGCGAGAGCGAGGTAGGTTTCTTCTTTCTCCAATTTTAGCAAATGATTACCTTCTAGGATAAGAAATAACGATTCCTTTTCATTCTTATCGTTATCAGAGTGTTATTTTGGGAGAAATTGAAGAACAAGAGAAACGGACGAGAAGGATTAAGAGAAGAAGGTTTGTTAAATTTCTTTCGGATTTTTTCCTATAAATTTCTTCTCCTACTTCATTTAAAGTGAACAATTTATTTCTTGAAGGTTAGGGAAGAGATTGTAGCAAAGAAAAAGGAAATTGGGAGAGAAAGGATTTTGAGAGTTTGAGAAATTCTCATTCGTAAGTGAAATTCTTTTTATATAAGTTTATTATGGGATTATAATTTTAAGTTTTACATGAAAGTTATTGTTTGAATTTTAGGGTTTTGGAAAGTGAAAGATCATGTTGTATGTGTTGATCCCGCGATGATTCAATAAGAAGAGAAATTAATTCAATAGTAGATCAAGCATCGACGACCTGAAAAGTTCAAAGTGGGTATTTATAAAAGTTTAAATTTCTTTATTTCAATTCTATTTTCGTTTAGAAAGAAGTATATGCGAAATTGATTAGATTGTATATCTCCTACTTTTTGGAGATAATTAACTAAAATAAGCAACGACATGTTATGAGTACAATTATAGAAAGAAAAAGGATATGTTATGAGTATATCAAAGAAATAAAAGTAAAGTTTAGAAGAAACATACACATGTACATGATCTCGTATATGCAAATGATAAGTAATATTTATAGAGATACAAGTAAGATATGTTGTAATGAAATTGTATCATAATGATGAAAATGAGAAAAGAAAAGAATAAAAGGAAAAGGGTATTGAAAACGACAGGAGTCACCCCTTATGCACTGGCTGGGGACACCGTACTTGCACGAAAAGGAAAAGGAAATTTCTACGGAATGGAGAAAGGAAATTAATGGAAAAGGTTGTACCTTTATGGTACTTTGAGACGGTGCTCCTGTGCAAATTAAATGGGAAAAGAAAATATAAATGAAATATTAAAGATAATAAATGCTTCAAATTATTTTAAATGAAAATATTCAAAGAAGTATTAAGTTAATGAATTGAAAAAACAAGATTAAGAAAGGAAAGAAATTATGTAAATTATATTTTTTATATAAATTTATTAGTTCCTCCATAGTTTACTTAGTAAACTCAAACCACAAGTTTAAATGTTTCAGGTAATTCCTAAGAGAAGTAATGGCTGAAAGAGAAGAACATGTTTACAGAAGACGAGGTGCAAATGACAACAGGTAAAATAGATTTTTTTGTGTTCAGTGGCTTTTCAGTTTATAGAAAAGTTTTGATGATGAGTTATTTTATACTTTTGGAAATGTACTATCGTCCGACTTTTCGTACCCGCCTCGTTAGATCGAGCATCCGGGACAGGTCGTGACATACATAGACCTAAAGGAGGCCTAACATAATAACCTAAATCCAACCCAAGCATTCAGTTTACCTGATTGGCCAAATGAATGCAAGTAAGCTCAATTTACTCCCATTGCACCCAAGTCAGTTAATTCCTATAACCTAACCTTGACTAGAACCTTTTAACTAAGCCTAGATCTAGTTTAGGATCAAACCTAGGGTCTAGTGGACTAACCAAATTCAAGACTCACCAAACCTAGTCTAACACAAGCCTAGAGCTAGCTCAAACTACATAACTCATGAAATTACCTCAAGCCAAGCATAGTTGAAGCTTTAGATCACTTTTTGCAATCTTACTCAAACTCTAGAAACTTCACAACCCTTGGTTTATTTCAATCAAATGGATCTTACAAGCTAATTCATAGTTGAACCTCTCTTATATATGACTCATGGAATTAACCAATACCT